CCCTCTCTCTCTCCCCCCCTCTCCCTCTCTCTCTCCCTCTCTCTCCTTCTCTCTCTCTCTCCCTCTCCCTCTCTCTCTCTCTCTCTCTCTCTCCCCGTCCCTCTCCCCTCTCTCCCCTGTGGAAGGGTAGAAGGGACAGAGGGCTAATCTGAGCATACTTCCTGGATCAGTGCACATTACCATCAGCATCTACCTGTTGAAGGTTCTGCTTTTGCTAGATTTCATTTTTTTCCTTCATCCCCATTCCCCAGTTCCACTTCTCATCAACGCTTAACTATATCACGTTTGTTTAATACCCTCCATGGAAAGTCTGTGACGTTGCTTCGTGAGAGCTTTGTTGTAACTGCACTGAAGTGGCAGTGTGCTGCAGATTTCATGTTTTGTCACCCCGTTTCAGGTTCCACTCATGTTGCTGTGAGTAGACCCATTGTGTTCCGCCTTGTACACTCCATTCCCTAACAGCATCCTCTACTTTCTAAAGTGCATATTTATTCATTCATTCCATGGATGTTAGGGACAGAGAGAGACACCTCCAACAGGTTCTTCCCGGTGCAGCCTCTCCCCCGTCTCCAGCCAGCCACACATCCTGGGCACATACGCACCCAGTGTCCTCAGGGAGCGCGCTGGACCTGAACAAAGAACCTGCCCGTGTGGGATTGCCCTCAGGACATCTCATTTTACCACCATCTGGCCCCAGTGTCCTCTACATGTTGTCTCTCAGTTTTTGAGTGAGAAGTTTCTTGGTCACCTAAAAGGCCCTACCATAGCCAACAACGCCGTGAGCCTCTCTGTTTACATTCATGCTTGTGAATCTATGCCTGAAGTCTTCTGGGTGTGTACACAAGATGAAGATGGCCAGGTCATAGTGTACATGTGCTTGGTTTTTCAGACTCATTTATTTAATTTTATTTAGTATTATTACTAATTTTTAATTTAATCGGAAAGAGAGTTAAAGCGAGCAGGCCCAGGACTGGTGGGAGTTGACCACGTGGGAGCCCAGCTCCTCACCACCATGCCACTTGCTGGCCCCGGGACGTGTACTTTAAGTTTCACTACCTGAGCTCTAGAGAGGCGGCACCAGGATTCAGATCCGCCTTATTTCTCTAAGTTCTTCAACCATGTATTAATGCCAAGTGTTTTCATTTGTAGTTCTCACATTATTTTCTTGTTATAAGCTTTTTGCAGGAAGTAGGACGGACTTTTTTAACATGAATATGTGGCCGCTCCCCCTTTGGGGAAGGTGAGGGTGAATGCTGTGTTTGAGATAGTCTGTGCTGGATATCAACATGCTAGAAATTGGGCTCCAGGGGGACATGAGGAGGCAGGAAGGTCCACCTCTAGATCAACGGTCCTCACTCAACCCTGGCTGCACATCAAAATTACCCAGGGAGCACTTAAGAAATACTGATGCTCACACCTCACTCAAAACCAATTAAATCATACATTATGATGTGGGGTCCTGCATGGACATTTTAAGAGCTGTTGAGGTGATTTAAATATGCAGGCTGAAAATCTTACCCTGAATTCTGGAGCTAGGCTTAGAAGGAGGAGTAGCCGGCACTTACCACAGGCATATCAGTGTGGTGATTTAAACACCAGATGGCGGAGAGGAAGGCCCAGAGGTGAGACACGTGTATGAGAGAGGCAACTGAAACCGCTCCCATCCCCGTTCTCTAGAAGGATAACCAGCAGAACTGAGCACCGCCAGCGCAAGCCAGGGGGAACAGAATTACAGAGGATATTTTAATTCATGCCTAATAATTCGAAACTCAAAACTTCCAGATGATTGAATAATTACAGAAGTATGTGAAACCCCAAGGCCATTAGCAAGACTTCCACGGATCACTACCCGGCTGTAGCCATCACACCCAGCGGAGGAACCTGTGTCTCTGGTCCCCCGTTCAAGGTGCCTAAGCCCATGTGCTCAATGCTGGCTCCCTTCTGTCAGCAGATCACAGACTCCCAAGGCCACCCAGCACCGAGAGAGCCTGTTCTCTGCAGAGTCAATTTCTCTCTGCAGTCTGTAGGTAAATCCCTTGCCATGACGATGTTCTCAAACCACTGAGAAAGTTTAATCTCCAAATTGGCAGCAATGCTGCTGACTCCGAAAATGACTCTCCCCTTCCAAGTCTGGTTCTTTGTTTTCTTTCCTGATACATTTCTAAATAATCATAATGTCTAATGGGAATAATCTACCAGTTATATCTTACTTCTGTTAGAGAGAGAAGATAGTGAAAGGGAGATTATTAACATTAATTGAGCATCTACTATGAACCAGACAAATGTGAAGCATTTTACATCCTTTATCTTGCTTAAACTTCACAAGAGCTGCGATAATCCCTATTTTATGTATATATTATCAGAAGCTCAGAGAGGATAAGTGACTCATCCAAAGAAAATTACATAAAAAGAGGAAGAAAAACCATTCAAACCGTGTTCTCTCTGATTTCAGTATGAAAACTTGGCCTGTACTGAGATAACTTTGTCTCCAATTACTGCCCATGCTAGAGATGTAATAACTTCTCCCGAGTACCCTGTGTACATTTTGCAGTTTTCAGTATCAGTGGATTCTTCTTGGAATCTAGTTTAAATCCTTCCCAGGATAATGTCAACGTCCTGGGAAGATGGAGGTGATCTGATGAGTGTTACCTCTATGGGTTGGTCTATTCAGTTGAGAAAGGGAACTTCAGTTTATTGTAGATGGATTATAGTGTCAAACTCCATTGTTTGGAGCTATTAGAAAACCATTTTCTAAAGACAGGCGTCCGCAGGAAAGTTATGCTGGTATATACCAGGGAAAAACTCTGAGTCGCACATGAGCAAAGATGTGATTTCTCTCCATGGCCCCTCGGGGGCCCCATACTGCTGTTCACACCTCATCAATGAGAGAAGGGTGGGGGGACGACACCTATACGTGATTCCCTAAAGCAATGGTCCTGCGTGCGTCTTGATTCGGTTAGTCTTGAATTTGTTAACTATCCCAATTCCAGGCCCCACCTCAAACCTACTGATCCAAAAACTCTGGGAGTGGGCATCATTAATCCATAGTTTAACAGATACAAACACACACTCGAGGTTTTGGAAAAAAACAAAAACAAAAACAAAAAAAACCCCTGCTTTTAAAGCTTCTGCTGGTCAGTAAAGAAATAACAACCAAAGTGCACAGCTGCTTTGGCTGTGGGAGCAGGAAAGCAGCCCCCAGTCTTATCAGGCCCTCGAAAGATAACTAGAAAACAAGCTACCATTGCGTTACAACTCTGTTTAAAAACTGCAAGTCGTTACCTGCTGCCCACTGCATTTAAAATGAATGTTTTGGGCTAGTTTTGCAGACTTCTCTCCTTGGATGCATCCCACCCATCCAGCGTCGACGCTTCCCCTCCCTCTCAGGCACTATGTGTTCTATGCTGGGATGTGGAGACTGGGTAGGGAGGGGGTTGACAGAGAGGAGTGAACCCAAAATATTATTTTTCTGAAGTTTTTTTGTTTGTCAAGAAATAACACATTTTGCCCCAATTTTTTTGCTTCTTCACAAGCTCTTACATCCCTAAATATACAAAACATGATCGTTTTCTAAGCAAACCAAGTCATACATTATGCATTTTTATTGGCACCTTGAATAAAGATAGGGCAGACATGGATATCAAATGTGCAGGTGAAAAAGCTGCGAGGAGGACTCACAATGGGCAAGCAGGGAGCAGGAGAGCACCTGGCTGCTCTTGGAAAGCCAAAAGAGATTCTGCGGAAGGAAATGCAGCCACAGCCTCAGGAAGACTTGCAGATGCCGTCCCCGAGCCACTGAGTTCTCCGTGAACTGTCAGGGAAACGGGTGAGACGCTGACAGCTGCAGATGAAGAAAAGGAGTCCATTTAGAAAAGAAGAAAAAGACTGAATTCTTCAAACTCTTAACCAGTGAAAAGTTTTATGACTGCTTTAGAGATACAGCAAAAGCCTAGGAGCCAGTGGGCATTTACCAAACACAGAGCTTCAGTGAAGGGACCAAGGACGATGTTTGTCTTGAAAAGGGGGGGGGGATATATACATGTGTATACACAGAGAGAGAGAGAGAGAGAGAAGAGAGAGTCCGTGGGGGAAGGTGTTGGTTTTGCAGCCATCAGGGCAGAAAGTGTTGAAGAGACAGTAGCTGTGCTGATCACCAGGCTTTTTCCTTCACCCGGGTAGACATCAAAGCTGACAGGTAACGTGGCTTCAAAGCTAAGATGAGAGCCCCTGATTCCCATTCCCATTTCATCATACCGAGCAACTCATAAAGAAAAGGTCATGAAAGAGGAAACTCATTTCCTCTTTTGCCAGAATCCCTAAACTCATAGAGCGCTCTCTAACCTGTAAAGTTCTATAAGGATGTAAGTTGTTATTATTATCACTCATAATATCAAGTTCTGCTCTTGACCCCTTCCCACTCAACCACTTTATGAAATGTCTGAAGAAGGGCATTGATTTTCCAATAATAGCCATTTGGGGGCAGACAGTAAGTGTACTGGATAGCTTGAAAAATGAGGCAACTCTAACGTGATAAAATCTAACCAGACCAATGTTATAATAATTTGGGCACTTAATACACGAAGCCAATGGACAACTAGCAAATCCTATGAGAGAATGGGTTAAGTTATTTGGGGAGTTAGTTGTAGTCAGTAATTGCCAATACGTTGGTCTTCGGTTATGTTTATTGGACGAATAGCATCTATAGAACAGGGAGGGAGACAGTCCCACTGCCCTGGCCAGTACTGCCGTGTTTCCCTGGAGGCGTCTGCTCCATTCTAGTCACTACTCTTTAAGCAAGACCTCTCTGCTCTGATGAGGAGCAAGTGAAGAAAATAGAACCATTTAACTCGAATAAGAGAAGCTCACAAAGAGCTCTCACTATTACCGGAGTACACAAAGACTGTATACTAGCTTGGGCGGCCGTAAGAAAATAACCCAGACCAGGTGACTTAAAAAACAGGATTCCGTTTCCTCAGTATTTTGGAAGTCCAAGATCAAGGGCTGGCTTCTCCAGAGGCCTTTCTCCTTGGCTTGCAAAGGCTGTCTTCTTGCTATGTCCTCGCGCGGCCTCTATCTTGTGCACAAGCCCTTGGTGTCTCTTCCTCTTCTTAAAGGTCAGCCATCGGTCCTATCATAACAGGCCACACACCTGCGACCTCACTTGTCCTTCGTCATCTACCTTACAGTTCTGTCTTGAACACAGTTGCATTGGGGGTTAGGGCTTCAGCACGCGAATTCGGGGAGACACAATGCAATCTGTCAGGAGAAGGAGAGTTTTAGGCTCCATCTGTGAGAGCAAAGCAAGGATCATTACACAACCAAATTGAGGGGGATTTATGTCCAATAAAAGGAAGGGTTTTCTTTCTTTCTTTTTTAAGTGTTTTTTTGCCATAGGGCACATGAGCTTGCCAGAGAAAGATAGGGAAAGGGAAAGTGAGAAATCATCCCCCAGGAGGGTGGCCACTCCACAATCTCTTCTCCTCCATTTTCCTCCTGGGATTTGGACATGCACGCACATGTGCCCAGAGTGATTTTTAAGTCACAGGTCTGGGACTCAAACTGCAGTCAGCCATGTGGAAGTCCAACCCTTAACCATCACACCATCTGCTGGCCCCAAGGAAGGTATTTCTTATAACCAGTCCTCTAAAATGGAAATGAGCTTCTTTATCTGAAAGTGCATTCCCTATCATTTAGTGTTTTAGAAGCCAAAGGGCCAGCTTTTGGCTCCATGGTAGAGGGCATTCCT